TTAAAGCTTTTATACGTCTTTTTGAAATTACTTAAGTTTATTAAAGCTTTGATATATAAATATAGTACGATGTTTACCGTTAAATGATCTTTAACTTAAGTAACTAGCTAAAGTTAAGTAACTTTTTAATGATGTTATTATGATAAGGGAGGATTAAGTAAGCTTTAATATGTAAAGCATTAGCTTTTACATTATTGCTTTTACACGTCGATTTAAAGTGCGATAAAATGTTATTAACGAATTTAACTACATAATTATTACACGAGATTAAATTAATATGCCTTATTTGTTTTTGAAGAAATTCATTACTGTGGCGCGTCAAGACTCCTCCTTTTAAAACTGCATTTGCACATTGTTTATTATTTAAAAGATTATTGATTAGTCAGTTGAAGTGTAGATATTTATTGGCATTAGTAGTAGGCTTCTCATGAACTTAAGTTTTATTGCAATTGCCAGAGCTAAATATTAAGACATCAAGAAATTTTAGATTAGAGTTATTTTCTCTTTCATTGATTGACTCGGTATTTTCAGGTAATAGGCTGTTGAGGAGGTCTAGTTACTTTTTCACTTCGACTGGCACAGGTGACTAAAATATCGTCAACATCTTTTGAAAACTCCCTTGGAAGCAAGTACGGCTTTGTGTCTCGAGTCAAAGTATTCCTTGACAATTTCGGCAAGGATATGGCAAACTGCAGCGATCCACCATCGATAGAGAATTAATTGACATATATTATGCAAATAATTATCGATTTTATAAAAGAATCAGGTAATATATTAGTACGTTGTTTAAGCGAATTATCTTTTTGAAGAGTTTGCCAATTATTTATTATGCTGTCAACGAGTCTTTAAAATCTTACTCACATTAATCCTTCGTTCATAAGGCTAAATCTGTTTCAGTTCGTTGCAAAACTAGTGGTAGTTTTTGGTGTATGATGGGTTTATTTCAATTAAAGATCTGAGTATTTTCGCAGTCAATTTCGAGACCTCTGCGAAAAGGCTATTAATGGCAGAGACGATGAATGTGGAGGGAACATTAGGTTGATTTATTTTAGGTATGCTGTAAAGGTACGGTATACCAGATGGTCGCTGTTGAGTTTTAGAGATGTTTCTGTGAAGTTGACCAATCATCCGATCGACCATATTTCTGCCGTTTGTGTAAATGAACGTGTTTTTACTGCTTTGAGTATGATCCCAAACGCACGAACGGAAGACTCAAAATGGAAATATCTCGAAAGGGCCTTGACTAATGTTGACCTTCGATCTAGAAGTGAACTGATTATAATATGCGAATTCCGATTTGTCTTGAGTCTTTTTTGTGGAATTCATAGATAATTAGAATATTCCCTTTGGTGATGACATCGTATGTGGAATTTATTATATGCGCATTCCAAACTTTGGAGATTATGCTCGATCCGTTTTTAAACATGGTCATAAAATAAAGAAAGAGTATTCTGGAACACGTGTATAATACCGTACCGTTCTCTTTCTATGTTCAGTCTCTTCCTGAATAGAGAACGAGTATGATTCAAAATGTTGCAGATGTGCACATAATACATTTGATAAGCTGTGTCATTCCGTGAAGAATTTTTGAACTTTGTACCTGTATGATGTATGGAGAGGCTGAAGACATGTACGGATGACAGTGTGGACACTGTCGTATTCACGATGCCCATACACCATATTAGTTGTCAGTGCGATGGTTTGGCATCGTTACAAATAAGGAGGAGTTTCAGCAAACCGCATAGAGTTTTCGTCATTCTCTTCACTCGGTGTATCTGCATTTCGAATAATGTGTTCTTAGACACGTATCATAATTTCATTATTAAGCCGTTTCAGGCTCCATGAAGGAAATTGATGGATTTTCGAACCAGACTTTGTGATCTTATACTATGGTTGTGGTTGCTGCAGGCAAGACTACCAGCAAGATTCTCATTTACATTTATTTTGAAGACTCATACATAGAGATGTAAGACTTATCTCGAGCTTCTATCCATGGGGTTTATCTATCAGGCTGATATACTGGCATGCATTGTGCATTTACTAATCATTATTATTATTATTAATATTATTACTGCCATATTTTTTATGTAAAGTTTTTTCTATCTAAAAATGATCGTTGTAAACCATTCTTTTAAGTTTCAACTCGATGACTAAAGTTACAGGAAGCAGAGACAGTCGGTTGGCCCTGTGGCGATTCAGGGATCGTATCGATCGTTTCACTCCTAACCACGTGAAGCGGCCAGGCACCTCGTTCGTCAATTACCCGACCACCCTCCCGGTGATCTTCAAGCAGCCACT